AGTGTTATTAGATGGGCAATAAAATCTATAACCCTTAGAATTTTTGGCATATCTAATGGCATATCCACTAATATTCCTTAGGTCTAACATTTTCTCTTGTGGATTAAAAATTTTCACTTTACATGGATATCCCCATATATATACATGTCTTAAACTTGATTTCCAACTTGTCCACTACTCAAAAGGAGTTTTAGGAACAACCTTAATTGGAACAATATTTAATATATACACATTTATCTTGAGAGATTTAGTCCACAAGAATTTAGGTATTTTAGAACTACTAATCATGCTCCTAACTATGTCCATCAATGATTTATTCTTTCTCTAAGCTACACCACTTTAATCAGGTGAGCCGGGTAAAATATACTGGGCAACAATCTCATTTTCTTGAAGGAACTTTGCAAATAGGCCAAGCATTTGTCCATCCTCAGCATATCTTTGATAATATTTATCACCTCTATCTAATCTTATAATTTAAATTTGTTTTCACATTATTTCTCTACTTATGCCTTAAAAATCCTAAAGGCACTTAGTGCTACATTTTTATTTTGAAGCATATATATATATATATACTCACGGGATCATCAATTAAGATGATAAAATATCTTGGATCATGAAAATTTATATCCAAACAATAAATATATGTATGTATGATCTCTAATATGTTTATACTCCTCTTGAATCCTTTCTCTGACTTGTTAGTTTGCTTACCAATAACACAACCTATACAAGTATCAAAATTAGTAGAATTCAGAGTATTAAGTACTCCAATTCATTCACCAATCTTTTAATCCTATTTATGGAGATATGTCATAATCTTCGGTGCCAAAACATAGATGAATTTTCATTTATAACACATTTTTAATACCAGTTTAAACATGCATAATATTATGAGTGGAGATATTTTGCAAATTAATATAGGAAAGGCCATAATACAAAATACAATAATTTTCAACAAGTTTTAATTTATAATAAAAATCAACATAAGTTTCTGAAAAATTAAAGATATAATTGAAATGTACATGTTTGAAAATTGAAAATTGAAATTAAATTTCTAAAAAAACTAGGCTCCTTAAAAGTTTTTTTTTTTCTAATTCTAAAATAAAACCCCTACAAAGTACTAAATAGCATGTTCCGATAGCTTCAACATATGAGCTCTTTTTATTTCATCAATAAGTGTATTACTCATTTGCCACTAGCTTTCTTAGATTTTGCATACCATGTGTTATAAATAACATTACCCATATTAGATTCATAACAGACAAATGAGATTATTTTATCTTTCTTGTCAAGCCAATTTTGAATTTGATGCAATCCTTCTTCATGTGTCCCTTCTTTTTACAAAAATAACACTTTGATTTTTTACGAATGTTAGCTTAGAGTGATATATTACTCTTTTCTTTCTTCTTGGCATGACTCCTGTCCTTTTTTATGAGTAGCTAATATAGCTCACTCACTCATTTTCATAACCAACATTTCCTCCCTTTGAACACACATGGTCATAAGTTCATTAATTGACCATATATCTTTATGTGTGTTATATGATATTTAAAACGAACCATTTTGTTATCGAAGGGTGTTCAGAATATAGTGCACCAAAAAAGACTCAGACATATCAACCTCAAGTGTCATATCAACCTCAAGTCTCTTAAATTGAGCTGTAATATCTCGTATTCGCATTATGTGTTATCGCACTTCTTTAATTCCATTTAACTTCAAGTGTGAAATCTTCATAATTAGGGTAGGGGTGTCAATTCGAGTCAGCGGGTCGGGTTCGGGTCGAACTCGGAACTGACCCGGCACTATTCGGGTCAACTCAAACCCGACCCGTTTTTAAAAACGGGTTAGGTTTATGGACCCGAACCCAACCCGATTCGGGTCCGGGTCAACCCGACCCGACATGAATGACCCGAAGTTTACCTAAAATTGCTAATTTTCGGGTCAAAATCGGGTCAATCTCGGGTTCTCGGGTCAAATATGAGTTTTTGTGTCACTTTCGGGTCAATTTCGGGTTACTGGGTCAACCCAAACCCGACCCGTTTCGGGTTCGGGTTGACCCGAACCCGGATTTTTCCGGGTCGTGTTTCGGGTCGTGTCAAAATTAAATTGACATTCCTAAATTAGGGTATATATTAACAAGAGCTTTTTCTGAAGTGTTGAATTGTTTATCAATTGCTTTAATTAGCTCTCTAATATTATTATATTGATCGATTGAGCGACAAAGACTAGCAGATATTTTTGTCTTTATGAACATTAAGATGGCTCCCAATGTTCATAAAGAGCAATTAATTTCATTATGAGTGTTAGTATCTTTTACTCCATGTGGTTCATCTTTTCATTCTTACAGCATAATCAATATCCATCCACCCTAAATGAAGGAGAATTCTATTTTTCTGCACTTTATAGTTATCACCATCTAATTCAGGAATATCTCACTTAATATCAGAGATATTTATTGATTTCATGATTGCAATAAGATAGATAATATATAAATTAAAACATGATATATATATATATATATATATATATATATATATTTGTTAGTTAGGCTCGACCAAAGCTCAATTAAGATCCGAACTTAATAAGCTCATTAATAAATAAATTTAATAAGATTTTAACTTTGATATTTAAACTTAATCATATACTTTTTATAATTAAGGATGTTGTGGCTAATCCCTAATTATTCAAATTATATATAAATCACTTAGACATTAAGTTTTATGTTTAAATTCTTTAGCTTTATCATACGTAAAATTTATACATATGTAATTAAATATATTTAAGCACAAATAAATAAATTTAATTTCCTATAAAATGAATATAAATCCAAAATTAAATTATTCTAATATAAAACTTTACAAATATTTCTTTAAGTAGTTTTATCGAAAACTAATAAAATTCATATTTACAAAAAAATTAATAAATAGAATAAAAATTTTTATTCCAAATATTCTAATCATTTTAGATTTTGTAAAAGAATGCAAAATTAAATTGAAAAGCCAAATACCAAAGTAGAGGTTTTGAAAATTCTCTAATACCAAATGTTAGAAAACATTATGCCGATTCCATAAAAGTTTTTCAAGCTCAACAACATTAATCTGATTTGAGATAAATTTATAAAATATAGAATCAACCATAGAAAATGCAGAAGCTAAATTACCAAGGTAGAGGCCATTAAAATTTTTTCATGTTCTTCACTAATTTTGAATTCTTCTAAAATTTTTTCACCCAAATGATGGTGTAGGTTTATTCTTAGAACTGATTAGAGAGAAAGTCTTAGGGATCCAAAATATATAAAAATTCTGAATTGTTGATATAAGCTAATGGACTTCTACTTCTGTCAATTCTTGAGAATAATCTTCTTCAATTGTTGGACTAAGACTTGATTTTCTGAATACTTCCACTAACACATACGCCTTTGAGTTATAGATTGATGAGGAATATCAATAAATTTGACGTAGGTATTGTTGCGGTTTGAAAGATTCGTGGCGGTAGAGTGAGTAAATTTTTGTCTTAGCGATGCACGAATATCCAACACACAAACAGAAAGAGAGAAGTAGAACACCAAATCTTTTTTACGTGGAAAGCCCGAAGAGGGTTTAAAGAATTTCTAACTTGAATATGCCTCGAGATTCGTGCTTGATCAAGGCAATTTTTGTGGACGTATCAGGTATATATATGAATTTGTAGAGCTCGATGCATTTGAAGCCTGTCTCATCATAGAATCCTGTTGGGTTATTCATGCATCAAATCCAACTTTAGTGTCACTATTGATTTACAGAAGGGCAGTCTGTTTTTTATTAATTTTAGTACTCTTATTATTTTTACAACTATTATTATTATTACCACTATGCATAGTAATTAGAATTTAGGTTTCATTTGAGACAAATTTTTTATTGCTTCTTAAAGCAATTTTTTAATACAAAAAATTAATTTTTGTAGTAGAAAGCTACTTTAAAAAGTATTAAGAAAATAGTCTCAAACGAAGCCTTAATCTTTTAATATTAAAACTTTTGCTAAAGCAATTGCCAAATAAAAAGCAACCCAGCTGACACCATTGGACAACCACCTAAGACCGTCATTATATTGGGTAAAAACTCAGACACTGCCACCCAACTATGGTCCACCAACCTTCATCGCCCAACTATGATCGTCTGGTCTCTGTCGTCCAATTATGGTCCTCTGGCATCCGGCATCTAAATACAAGTTACTCTCCACCGTTGTTCGACTACGATCCTCTGACCATTATTGCTAGTCAATGGTCATTCGACCATCGTAGCCCTACCATGGTCCTCCCACATCTGTCACCTGACTATGATTCTCCAAACCACCGTTACCTGACTATTGTGATCCAACCTCCGTTATCCTTTACAATACTTTGACCATTGTTATCCAACTACTTTGACACCCACTAAGAATGTCAACGCAAGTCATCACTTATAAAATCTATGCATGTTATGAACATCAACTCTAAATCCAAATCTTAGCAATAAAATTTATCTTGAATTTCTTAGCCTTTGATTTTTTTTCTTCAGGAGTAAGTCCAATGAACAAGCAAGTGATCTCTCAAGCATAGGTGGATCCACCAAGGACTCAGGGTGGGCAAATGCCCACCCTCAAAAAAAAATTTTTAAAAAATTTAGAGGAAATTTTTGAAATATTTTGGGTTTTTGTCCCCGCCCCCCCCCCCCCCCCTTCAAAAATATTTTTTGCTCTAATTTTTATCAATACTAAGCATCTTTGCCCATCTCCCAAAAAAAAAAAAAAAATTTGTCCACCCTGAAAAAAGAAGCTGGATCCGCACCTGCTATCAAGATAACTCCAATGCCACAATGGTTTTTTTAACTTCCATCATGAAATTCATTTTGTACAACTTATTCGATAATATTGTATTAGCTCCTTTCTTAACTACAGAAAAAGGCATCTTTAATTTGTGATTGATAACAACGCTAGTGAAATTAGGCCCAAACAAGAAATTAGTAACTTCCTAATCTAATTAATGAATCATAAGTTCATAATGGCTTTATTTCTTAGTATCTTACACCTTCCCTTTCTCAAATTTACCGTTAGAGACTCTGATGAATTTATCCATTCAAATTGTTGCGTGTTAGAAAATACGCGGCGGTAGAGTTTGTAAATTCGCGTCTGAGCGTTGTACGTATTAATTTTTGAAGTTTCCAACTAGGTTTTGCCTCGAGATTCGTGCCCGATCAAGATAATTTTTGCATGACGTATCACAAATCATACATAGAAATACTTAGACTCACAAGACATTCCACCATAAATTCCTAAATAGCCATTCCATGATCGAGTTCTTACTCGCAACAGGTCTGCTGCTGTCAATTATCCTGAACCACTGGTTTTCAGGATCACAAGTTCGATCGTTGCTGAGGCACCGGCATGTGTTGGTCACTATAGTTCTTCCATCTGAGTCGACGTCCAAGCACAGACTGGCGCTGCTGTTGGCCGTCAGCTTTGTTGACAAATGCATTTTCGAATCCGATATGAGCTCCCATTGTGAAGCAGAATCGCTGCAAAAGACTCCAAACTTCACCTTCTCACCCTCACCTGCTGCTTTCAGACAAATCAATGTCCCTTGTGATACTAGACTGTGTTGTTCGGTGTAATCCAAGGCTTCTGGCTCATCGCATGACCCCAGGTGAAGCGGCTCAAGCAAAGATTTCTTCGCCACACACAGCCCAGTTGCTGGGTGGAAGAGAACTTTGTAAGGCTGTGTATCGGAAAGGCCAGGACCTGCATCAAAACAAGCTTTGAATAGCTATCAAAGAAGCACTTATGATTTTGCAGTTTCTAAGCTCACTGAATTCTGTTTTAGCATTCTCTAACTTTAAGAGGCAAATTTATGTGAAATGGCCTACCTGCATTGTGATTGTTCTTAGAGAGATTTGTATATAAATCTTTATATCTTAAACCTTTTTATCATGAAAATTTAACTAGAATTGAAATTTTGTAAACAAAAACAATAATTTACCCTATTGTATAACCAGCAATGACAACCTTAGCTTTTTTTTTTTTTTTAATGACAACCTTAGCTTACATGCTAGGGTACCTTGAAATTCTATAATACATATACTACTAATAAATCAGGCTTTCGCGACATTTTTAGGACCTAGTGCAGCGATTTAAACATCTACTAATTTATTTGCAGCGATTTAGGAACCTCTGCACCGTTGTATTTGCATTTGCTGGAAAGACTTTAACAGCGGTTTTATGAGTGCTACTGTAGAAAGACTTTAATAATGCTTTTAGCAGGTGTTAGAACCACTGTTAAAGGGTATTTAAAATTTTGGTATTACTACTTGAGCTTCTCTAAAACCGTTATATTACTATCATAGAGTAATACCAATTTCATGACAACTAAGTAGAAATATCAAAGTTCTATTACAAGCTCTAGCAGCAACATAAAGGCCTCCACATCCAGGATAATATACTGTTGTTTCGATAAATTGGCATATATATTGTATTGTTGTCATTATTAAACCCATTTATAATTATTGTTCTTCTTCACAGAATACCCACTCCTCATACACCATATCCAATATGCTTTTATCAAAACATGGATATGACAAAAAAAAAATCATTATTGCAAACAAAATTCTTAATGGGTTTAATACCAATCAAGCTCCTAAGCACCATTTTGTTTTAGATTGATTTACGAACGACATTTTACTATATGAGCAAAACTTATCATCATCTGAAAAAAAATAATTGATAGAAGTATTTGTCACAGCCCAACTTTCAACCATAATGATTTTATTTGTTTTTGACTAATAGTTTCATGGTTGTGTCCCATTGGAGTAACTTTCTAGTAGGTCACTTATCACAGGAGTGCTCTTATATGACTATGCTAAACTTGGGGGTTTCTAATAATATCCAGCCATTGCATTAAAAGGCTCATCGATGTTTTAGAGTTGAGCTTTATTTTCATAAGGGATTTCACAATCTCTCCCCCTTGCCCATTATCAACCACGAGGCAAATAAAATTTTAAAGGTAGAGTTCACATTTTACAGCTAATGTATTGTTGTGATATCATTTGTAATGACATAAACTCTCAATTACCGAGACATTGCCCACTTTAGCTTAATGGTCTCACTATTTTCTCTCATTAATTTAACTTCTCAGTAGATCACCCACGCTAAGAGTGCTCCTCGATGTTTAAGAGTTTAATTTTATATTCATAAGATATTTCAAAGTATTCATCACAAAATTTTGCAATGGACTGAGGCATATGTACTCTTTCCTTCTTTCATTAATGATGAGCTTCATTTATGGATATTTCAACTCTCATAATGGCCTACAATAAAGCTCTCCTCTATGCCCTTTCATTTTCACCTTTGTAATGATATACTCTCAGAAGTTATTGAAATAGTTATTCCAAGCTGAAATTTCAACCTATTACCTGCAACTACGTGTCCATGTATCTTCCTATTTTGGGGCTTTGTTTAACACTTTTTTTTAATCAATATACGACCTTAAATTCTAATCTTAATCATATCAATTTTTTGAATATAAACTTGACATTTTTTATCGAAATCTGAATGTCTTATGTATGCTTATAAATAAAACAATTAATATCAGTTAAATAAGATCGAAATCATAGAAAATAAACAAAAACCAAATTGCATTAAAAACCACATTTTTACCTTGAAAAGGTGATTGCAGAGTCGATATCCTTTTTAAAAAGGAAGAGTTCCTTTGCTTGCACCAATCATAAGAGAGCACGCCATAGAACTCTTCCATGCCGAGCACGCCTTGCCTGAGATAGTAACTTCCTTGCAGAGTCCAGAGAGCCCAGTCCACATCAAGCTCCGCTGCCAAGCCAAGAATGCAGCCCAAGTAGCGGTTGTCGTTGGTGTTTGTGCCTCGTTGATCTATTCCAAACTCACTTATGAACAGGGGCCAGCCCTGTTTTAATAGGAATCCTGCCTTTCTCATCACGCTTGAAGAAATGGAGCCACAGACTTGGTTGGGGCTGCCACTTGCCCAAGCATTTCCATTAGAGAAGGCATACCAATGCAGCTCAAACACAAGCTTTGCAGAAAAGCTTAGCTGAACTTGCTTATTTGAAAGGAAGCTCAGATCATTGTCAAAACTGAGGCCGGATAGTATTACGAGGACGTTTGGATTAGCTGCATGTACTGCCTCTGCACCTCTTTGCATGTATCTGGATTGGCTCAACCCTTATCAGAATGGTTAAATCAATTTAAACTCGGGCTGATCAAGAACAACTCGTTCTTAATCCGCGATACAACTTATCAGTTTTTTTTTTTTTTTTTTTGGATGTGGGGTGATTTAATGTATGAATTGAGATATTTTAAGTTATTGGAGATGAGATAAAAAAAGGCAGAGAAGAAGAGGAAACAAAAACTGTCAACATATCCTGATACAAACTGTATCAGATATCCTGACAGTTTTGGAGTTAGAGAAATTGAGGAGCTTTTAAATACTTAGTATTCTGATCACGGAGGAATTATTATGTGCGAACAGCGAATCAGAATGCACCACATCATTCGGTACATAATTTTGGTACATAGCAAAAAAAAGTTAGGTGGCACGTTCTGATTCGTCTTCAGATGACGTCTGTATCCGCACAATATAATTTCACCTGTTTATGACCACGGGTATCATGAATAATATATGTATTAAAAATACATATATTAATAATTGTAAAAATAAAATACATACAAAAATAAAATTTTTACAATACACCATAATTGTAAAAAAAAATTAAATTTATATTGCACTTGTCTTAAATAAATTTGATGTCTATAAAATCATTTATATGTCTATTGAGTGTGAAATCATTAAGTGCGGTCACCAGATTATGTCCAGAGGCGAATCAGGACGCGTCATATTACTTTTTGTTGCGTACCGGTGTTATGTACTGAGGTGACATGGTGCATCCTCATTTGCCTTTGGACTATCCAGTAACCACACGTGATAATTTGTCCTATTGAGGAAGAGTGTTGGAGACATACTTGTACCAGTCATTCACGTTCTGCTTCGGTCCTCTGAGTTCATTCCTCAGGCTCATGCCAACCACATTGGCAGTGTCGTTAAACAAGCCAGCCATTTTAGTTAGCCCGTTCACCCACAAATCAGGGTCGAAATATTTATCTCCAAAGAAGCCATTGCCGTCAGAATTGCTGCAGCACCATCCTGGCTTGCTTATGTGGTTGTCCAATATCACCATTATGTTGTTGTCACCTAAGTTCCTAACCACAGCCTGCCATTAATGATCAGGTAAGCTATCAACTCTTGAATCTGACTACAACTGTGAATTTGAATGGTTCTAGAAACAACGACATAATGGTATTTATTTTTTAAGTTTAATTATTCAATATTTTACTTACCTAAGTTTCTACCATGGCCTGCCATTGATTCGGTAAGCTATCAATGTTTGAATCTGACTAAATAATGCCATGAATAATTCTAGAAGTAACAAGTATTTGCTGAGTATTTTTTATTATATTTTGTTCAAAAATTTATTGCTTTGTGGTTGTCCAATAATACCATTAGGTTGATCACCTAACTTTGCAAGCATAGCCTGCCATTTATTAGGGTAGATTTTACTGTTTGAATATGAGTGATATTATGACGAGATTAATTCTGAAAGCAACTAAGATTTGTTGATTTTTTTATTTTATTTTATTTTACTTTATAACTAATTATTTTTTAAAATTTGAATTATAACTGCTTAAAGTGTAATCACTTATAGCGCTTTTAAATGGGGTTAAATTCTATTGCTTAAGTGATTAAAGTTTTATTTGAGACAGTTTTCTTACTATTTTCTAAAACAATTTTTTAACATAAATTTTTAAAAAATAATAATAATAAAAAATAATGATAAAAAACTATCCCAAATGAAACCTAAAATTCAAACAAAGGGCTAAAATCTTTCTTGTTGAGAATCTGGACTTATAGGGGTCCTTTTATTGCTTGAAATTAAAAAACAAGCTTTAAAATAGGAGGCAATTTATTATATCTATCATTTCATTATTATTATTATTATTATTATTATTATTATTATTATTGGATTGGGGGTATCTATCCGCTTCCATTTCAAAGAAAGCACTTGGCGGCGTAACTAATTTCTCGACGTAACCTATCCCAGGATTCGAACCTCTTATCCGGTCCCGAGATAAGGGGGTTCCCAACCGTGCTCGTCCACCAACCACCCTAAACCTCGGTGGGTATCATTTCATTATTGAATGTGATTGGAAATCTACATTTATTATAAATCTTTTCAAATATAATAATTTCATTTTCAGTACCATTATTAATATCTAAAATAAAATGTTCACCTATAAGTAGTCGACTAAGCCCCTAAATAAATGGCCTTTGAGATGCTTAGTCAAATTTGGTTGTTGATGCATGAGACTTTGTGCCCCTCTTCCACCTACTCTTATGTCATACTTTATTGAAAAATCCTGTAAATAAATCTAACCTTTCTCCCCATCTTCCTCCCTTCACACCGGCTTGGCAGCATCAAAGCCGAAACCAGGATTCTATCAAGCAAAAGATCAGAGGTTTTATTTTTTTTCCCTTATAACAATGAGAGCATTAGTGTCTTCATTGACTACCAAGAATTAGGTTTATAAATTTCACAATCAAATAATATTAAAATCTATTACGCCCTTAATTAAGTGAAGATATATAAAATTCTTTTTATCTGGATTGTTAAATTAAGGTTGTGTTTGGGTCGGCTTTCTTATTGCTTTTTAAAGCAGCTTTTAAGTATAAAAATTATTATTTTTATTTAGGAAGTTGATTTAAAAAGCAATAAGGTCATCTCCAATGGAACACAAACAATTGTTTGTCGTTCCAACCGAGCGGCAATTTTGCAGCTAATTCATCGCGGGTGAATAGTGTGACGCCAATCACATTGTTCACCCACTAAATTTTTATGTGTCAACGGGATTTGCTTGCGAAATGGAGAAAGACGGTTACGAGACGATGAAGCCCGCAAAATGGAATTCTATTGAAGCATAATTACCGCATTTTGAAGTTTTTTTTTAATGTATTTTGCAGTGAAAAATGAGATTTTCAGTTGGAGATGCCCTAAGAAAGCCGCCTCAAACGAGAAAAATTATTAGGCGTGGAGTGTGCACCGTCCGCACAAACATGGGTACCCAACAGTACCGAGTGCTGGTACCTAGCGCGGAATAAGGCTTGTGCGGACGGTTCTCTCCGTCTGCACTCCGCACTTAATAATCTCTCCTCAAACGAAACCTAAATTTCTCCCATTCCCAAAATTTGCTGCCATTAAGGAAAGACATTAAGCTCACCTTGTATGCCTGAAGGAGAGGGAGATCAACCAGAGCTGGATTTTTCAGTTGGATGGCAGCAATGGACTCATTAAGGCCAAGAGACAGGAATGACTGTCGAACTGTGAGCGTCGCCAAATTGTCGTCGGTGGCCAGGTAAAGCGGCCAGGTGAACCTGACACAATTGAACCCCATGGAAACTATGCTTTGGGAGATTGCATCCAGAGGCTGCTTGCTAAGCCCCTCAGCCAGCATGTCCTCAAGATGGGATACCCAATTCACACATGCCAGCTTCACCCGCCGCCCTGATTCATCGACAATCCAGCGGGAGTTTGTTGAAAGCGCTGCCGCTGCAGTAGGCTTCCATAGGAGCAAGAATGAGGCTGCAAGGAGGAGGAGAAGCCCTGACATTTTTCTGAGCTTCTATTAGTTGTATAGTACACTAATGGTATATATATAAGCAGTAGTTAGGTTTCTAAAAGGTTTGTGGGCTTATTTAAGATTGATGACGGGGAATTACATCAGAAGGATAGAGGTGGCAGAAGAAAGTGGAGAGGCTTGCGTATGTTGATTTATGGCTTTCTGGTGCTTTAAGTCTTGAGGAAGTAGCGGTTCAGTGCAAGTCAGGGACTGCAATAAGGCAAATTCTTTGCTTCTACTTCACATAAAATAAATTTGCTATTTCAGATAGAGTTGTTTGATTATTTATCTCTCGCGTGGCGGGGCAAATCCGCAGGGTAAGTTGAGCTAATTGATATTATCTTTTGAAAAATAATATAATAAAACACCTAGAATTATTGATTAGTTGCTTTTTTTTTAGAGATTTAGGTTAATTAAGTCATATCCACATACATCTCATACATAAAGTTTCGAACCAAGACCTCTTAGTTGACAGCCTAAGCTCTCAACCAACAAGCTAAGATGAGCTGTGTAATTAGATGCTTATATTGGAGTTCCTCGCAACACTTGTTCTTTTTTTTTTTTTTGACATTTAGGTCAATGAAGTCAGATACATATACACATCACATAACTTGAAACCTCTTGATGTGTTGCATAAGCATGAAAAGAAGAATACTTAGCTCTATTACTTTATTTATATTATCTTCACTAACTGTTAATTATGTTTTTGTCCTTTTCTTCAATTATGATTGTATGTTTTAGCCTTTTGGTTGTATTCAGCGCTTAGAGAGATGTAAGGAGGCCCTTATATAGGTGGAGTGGGAAAAGGAAAGGAATATAGAAAAAGTAATCAATTACTCGTTGTTATGTTTATTTCTATTTTCTTCTTCATGCTCTGTTCTAAAGGAAGGTAATTTGATTTCCTATAGGTTTTACACTAAGTTGGTATCGGAGCTATTCGTTCATGAACATTGAGCAATGGCTGGAAGGAACAATCAGACGGCTCGCAGTGACGACAGGAGCTTAGAAGCATTGTAAACACAGGCATCTCTAGAGCATCTACATATCAACCATGAAACAGCTAGAATACCGGCTTATATACCCCTATTCCTGTTCCGGATTCCATATGGGATAATGCCAGTATAGATTTCGTATTGGGCTTGCCTAAAACAAAGCGTGGGGTTGACTCTATCATGCTTGTGGTGGATCACTTCTTCAAGATGGCACATTTTGTAGCTTGTAAGAAACATTCGATGCAGTGAATGTAGCTCACTTGTTCTTTCATGAAATTTTTCGCTTGCATGGGATACCCTGTAGCCTCACTTTGAATCGACACGTGAAATTCATCCGTCACTTTTTGCATGAATTGTGGAAACTATTAAGAACTAAAATCAATCTAAGTTCGGTGCCCTACCATTAAGAAATGGATGGACAAACAGAAATGGTCAATCAAACTCATGGTAACATTTGTCATGCCTAGTACAAAACCATTCAAAATATGAAAATAATGGGAGGATGTCTTAGGAAAAGTAGAGTTCATATATAATTCTATGATAAACAATTCCACAGGCAGCTGCCTCTTGAACATTGTTTAGTAAAAAATTTCTAACCACCTTAACATTGTTGTTCTTCCCAAAGTGCAAAAACACTACAGCTACTTAAGTTACTGGTCGCTATAAAGGAATATTAGAAGATGTGAGGACTAAATTGATTCTATCTAATGAAAGATACCAATAAGCAGCAAATGTTCATAGAAGAAAGAAAATTTTTAAACCAGGAGAACTCGTAGTAGTTCATATTCACAAGGACATTCAAAATTAAGTCCCAAGAAGCTGAGTTCAATTCCTATTTTAAAATGCATAAATGATAATGCATATTTGTCGACCTGCCATCACATATTTATACATTTGCTGCATTTAACGTCTCTTATATATCTCCTTAGTATCCACCTTGCGAGCTTCTGGGAGAGAATGCTATTGAGGTCACAAAGCCTTTTGAAGCGGAGGCAAACTGATGCAGTGCATAAGCATGAAAGGAAGAATACTTTACTCTATAAGTTATGTTTTAGCCTTTTCTTCAATTATGATAATATGTTTTAGCCTTTTTCTTGTATTCAACGCTTAGGGAGAAGTAAGGAGGCACTTATATTGGAGGCACTAGGAAAAAATGAAGAATATAGAAAAAGTTAGCAATTACTCGTTGGAAAGTATTTGTCTTAGTATTGTATGTATATTCAGCACACAAATAGAAGATGAAAGAACACAATGATTTTTACGTGGAAAACCCTGGAAGGGAAAAAACCACGGGGTCACACAAATTTGAAAAAGTTCCACTAGTGTTTGCTTGAGATACAAGAGGCTGACTCGTCCTTAAAATTTAGGATGATCATATTACAATGAATCACTTTTGGATTGAAATCCAGTTACAACGATGGGTAGAGTTCCAGCGTCACTTTGGAGATCGAGCAGAATTTTGGCGTCACTTAAATGTCGGGCAGAATTCCGGAGTCACTTGAGCGTCGGGCAGAATACCGGCGTCACTTGGGCGTCGGGCAAAATTTCGGTGGTCAAGTGACGCCGGAATTTCGCCCAAGTGACGCCAGAATTCTGCCTGACGTTCAAGTGACGCCTGACTCCGCCCGATCTCCAAGTTCGACTCGGCCGTTGGGGGCGACGATGGCCGATTCGGCTGCCTACGCGAATCCGGGTCACATTTTTTATCCGAAAAGGCCAAACCTGACATTTTTTAGCTAGGTTTCTGATACTGTTTTTTGACGTTCTAGACTCAAATTCAAAACTTTTAAAGCCATTTGGGATTACTAAACGTGATCAAGTGACGCTTGATTCCGCCCGATCTCCAAGTTCCGCTAGGCCGTCGGGGGCGACGATGGCCGATTCGGCTGCCTACGCGAATCCGGGTCACATTTTTTATCCGAAAAGGCCAAACCTGACATTTTTTAGCTAGGTTTCTGATACTGTTTTTTGACGTTCTAGACTCAAATTCAAAACTTTTAAAGCCATTTGGGATTACTAAACGTGAGATCGAATTTCAAATCATATGGAAAATTCTCCAAAGTTTGTGATGCATATTTTCGGACTCCTACAGCTTCAACATCTGAAAATAGAGTGACAACTAATATATCATCAAAAAATTATCTTGATCGAGCACGAATCTCGAAGCAAAATCAAGCTGGAAACTTTAAAAATTAAATCTTGGATCACCTGAACTTCGATTTTAGCAAACTTATAGTCAAATTGAGTGTCTCGGAAATACGAACCCAACGACACCAAATTCAACTCAATCCGAGCCCAAATGAGTCCAAATCAAGGAAGTGTTGTTGGAAAGTTTAAACCACAATTTGAGTTACCAAACGGGTTTTGAAACATGACGTGCTTATAGTCGAATTGAGCGGCTCGACGAGACAAATTCAACGAGCCAAAGATCGCCAAATCCGACATCATTAAAACCTTCAAATGTCTGACAAACGGTACATGATCAAGGGATTCAATATTAGCCGTCCATCCAACCACTCCCCATTTAACCCTGATCTCTCACCTATTTACGAGATATGCCACTCCAGAAATTTATAAATAGATCCCTCATTTCTCTTAAAAAGGGACCCAAGCAAGAAAAAGAAGAAGAGAATGGTCAGAGGGAAGAAACTCCTCGACCACCGCAAGAATTCTGCCCAACGCCCAAGTAGAGCCGGAATTTTTTCCGACGCTCAAGTGACGCCGAAATTTTGCCCAAGTGACACCGAAGTTCTGCCTGACGTTCAAGCGAAGCCGAAATTCTGTCTGATCTCCAAGTGACGCTGGAACTCTACTCAACGTTGTAAACTGGATTTCAATCCAGAAGTAATTCATTATAATTTGATTATCCTAAATTTAAGGACGAGTCAGCATCTCCGCCCATTTCTTTTTAAATTTTTTTAATTTTTCATAAAAGATTTCCCATTTATATTTTAAAATTTTGGTTACAATCCTTATTGATGATTCACATATAAAAGATAATTTTTCAGCCTATACATGTCATTTTAATTAATTTATTTCTAGTTATTTGAAGCATATTTAGCTTCAATAATCATTTCCCAACTTATGATTCATTTAAATTTAACTTTCAAAGATGATAGCTACATAGCTCAATTTTTCAAAATGATACCTAACATAACTCATAATTAGTTCATTCAAGTTGATTTTAAACATGCTACATATTATGTCTAAAATGCTAAACTTGATATGTTAATATTAAATCTATATGATTAAACAAATATAACAGCAAAGAGAAAATAGATTCAAACACTCAAAATCTCTTAATTTAATCATTTAAATAAAATATCATAACTCAAATTTAAATTTGTAAATAACTTCGTTTATAGGGCTTATAAAAATAGCACTTATTTATAGAAATAACTAACATATATCAACTTGGAAGAAAACTATAAACATATAGAGCAAAAGTTTGGAGTTAGTGTTTAGCCAAATCAAATTGATGAAGAAGATGAAAGTACAAGAAGAGGAAAAAGACTAAGGTATTTGTGCTTCTTCGCTCGGCCTCCTCCCCATTTGCTCAATGTATAGATGACATTACCGGTTGGTAAAATTGCTGAATCGTGAAGCTTCGAGCACAATCATAGTCACTTGTCTCCCTTGCTATGCATCGCCTGCCATAGGAGGCCGACGTCGAACATCACCTCCGCAATTCCTGTTCGCCGGCTAGGTTGCAAGTCTCTCCTCTCACTTTTTCGCCGCAGCTCTCTCTTCCTCTCGTGCATATGATGCCCTAATTCTTGGTTCCAAACTTTAAAGGCATGGGGTTGCATATATGCGAGATGACCTGAACACTTTGCTTATTTCAAGTTATTACAATAATTCTTATTGTTGATTCACACAAAATAAATTTTTTTTAACCGATTGATTTGGGGTTTAAGATTCAATCTGGGTTCAATTATTTTAGTCCATTTCTAGATATTTGAAGCATATTTAAATTCTAAGCCTCTCCTATCTAACCTCTCCCTTCTAACATAAATTATGAAAGGTGTTTCCCATACTCCTTCATATTTCTAATGAATTTTAGGGTTCTTTTTACTCGTTTGGTGAGCTCTCTCTTCTATTTGTGAAAATAAATCTTGAACTATTAGAGCTTTTTTATCCTTTTTTTATTGACGTAGTAGCCGTGGAAGAAGCATAAATAAAAAGCTAAACATAGTACAAGCAGGAAACTAAGCAGGAAGCCCATGGCTATGCACTTCTTTGATAAGTTGTTGGCGGTATGAAGAATCTGGAAAAATCCATGAAAAATAGAGAATTCACCTGCATAATTTCCTTGAACGCAAGCTTGCCAGATGTGCTGGAAATCTTTGTCACTGACATATATAGCTCCTTTAAGCATTCCATACTCATGATTTCTATTTGAAGCTAAGTGAGAAGTACAAAGGTACGTTGTTATTCTTTGGTCCACTGAAAATATTTTCTTTCAAAATAAAATGTAATGGTAGCCATGATTAAATGAAGCCCTTAATGAATCCATGATAAAAATTGTCAAAATCGTGAAAACTTCTTTTTATATTTTCAAACATTCACAAATTTAAATAATGTTGAACCTTCCTAAAACTACTCTCATCGATTCATGTTTTAAATTTTGATCCAACACATTCATGAGACTTATGCCATCAAGATATATATATATGATAGTATGTACGAATCATCAATTAGCTAGAGATATTATTGGTGGAAGTCATTTTCACACCACCACCAATCACTAGGATTAATGACCCAAAAAAAGTTAGTTGGACCAGCCCGAGAACTACATCATTTGACCATATTTTGAGCATAGCAAGTTGCAATCCACATTATATATCAGTAATTACTATAAAGAATATTCCAATATGTTCTTGCTAAAGATAGAAATATTTTTCTTAAAATCTATAAGAAGCCTCAACAAAGTTCATTTGTAGTATTCTGAACTTCTAACAAATAGGATTATTTTTTAGGCCCTAAAAGATGCCTAAAGCTTATGTCAATCATTTTTATCTAATTCAGGATCTAAGCCTCTTCTTCCAAAGCCGCTAAAAAAAAAGTAAAGATTTGAGGTGGATTGACGGTAAGCTTTGTGATGGAAAAATTTTACAACAAAATTGCAGCAGATTTGTGGTGAAAATTTTCATCACAAAATTTGTGAAGGAATTGTGGTGTATTTGCAGCGAAAAATCCACACAAAATCCGTCATAAATTTGTGACAGATTTTCTGCAAGTTCGTCACAAATCCACCGTAAATCCGTCATAAATAAGTTTATTTAAACTGATATCTAGCTTATTTCTTTCATTTGCACTCGATCTTGTTTATTCCTCCGTGCCCGCGCTCGCAGTGACTAACCCCCTTCGCGAGTCCTCACTAACGTTCGCCTTTCTTCATCTCCTTTGCTGCTATTCGACTTCGCTCCTTCGATGACATCCTTCTTGTTGGATCGAGATCAGAAGCAGCAATGGGAGATCGCTCGCTATAAAGGTAACTTTCTCGCTTTCACGATCTTCTTCAGCCAAATCTCTTAATAAATTTGTCGAACTAAATGGATTACTGAATCTTGGATTTATGGAAAAAAGAGGGAAATAAAGGTTTTGTTGGTGGATCGAAAGCAACAACATGATCTCACTCCTGAAGATAACTTAACCTAATTATTTTCCAATTTCTATTAGATTACATCAAGCATCAACCTTAAGCCCGTATATTTTTTGCTTTAGCCATGGATGTTGTTACTATAGATTTGCAAGATGATGTTCCCTGGTGTATGCTTTTTGGTGACGATATTCTTATTGTTGATAAAACTAAAGAGGGAGTTGAAGGTAAACTTGAATTATGGAGGCCAACCTTAGATTCTAAAGATTTTTATTTGAGTAGATCTAAATCAAATACATGGACTCTAATTTTAGTAGCGATAGATCTAGTGGGGGGTTTGTGACTTTAAGCGATCAAGTCATTAATAAGAGTATACGTTTTAGATATCTTGGGTCTATTGCTCGAAGTGATGGAGAAATAGATGGGGACATTATTAATAAAATTCAAATTGGATGGTTGAAGTGGAGGAATGCATTGTGCTTGTTGTGTGATAGAAAAGTACCACTCAAACTTAAGGGAAAATTATGTATGATGGTGGTTAGACCTAGAATGCTTTATGGTGCAGAATGTCGTCCATTAAAAGAGAAGCATAATATTAAGTTAAGTGATGTAAAGATGAGGATGCTCAGGTGGATGAGTGACTTTACTCTTAAAGATATGATAATAAATGAGCATATACGTGAAAAGGTTGGATTAGCTTCAGTGGCATATAAGATTAGAGAGAGTCGCCTTAGATGGTTTGTACACATAAAACGGTGACCTTCCGATGACCTGGTTAGGAGAGTAGATGTATTAGATTTGCCCTATATTAAGAAAGGTAGAGGTAGACCTAAAATGACTTTGTTAGGAAATATTACAAATGACATTTCCTTATTAAATCTAAATGAGAATTTGACTCTTAATAGAACGCAATGGAGAAAAAGAATTCATGTAGCCGACCCACATAATGAGATAAAGGCATGATTTTGTTGTTGTTGATTGTTATGGTTTGATCACACATGAATGTAAGGGTTAGAAACATTGATTCATGATCTTATTTCAATTTTAAGTGACACTTAAGGATAACAATTAAGGTGTGCGTAGCTTGTTGGCCATTAAAAGATAATTATAATATTAGTTAAGTGTTGAATAGATGAGGATGCTTAGGTGGATGATTGACTTTACTCTTAAGTTAAGAAAAGTAGAGGTATATACCTAAAAAGATCATAATATTAAGTGAAGTGTTACAATGATGAGGATGAGAAAGTAGATAGATGTATGAATAAGCATCACAACTATCCATGAAAACTCTAAAAATCATCATCATTGCACATTATTTTAATTTTTTAAAAAATTGATATAAACCTTATTATTTGGTTGTATGAATTTATAGCACAAATTTGTTATGGATATTAAAAATTATAGAAGTTTGATATATAATCGATTGTTTCCTAGATGTAAGACATTAATAGATGAATTTCTAAACGAAATGAATTATTTCATTCTTGTGGCATATTAATTGCCTTCCTTCATATTAGAGGGACCGATTCGTTGTCCATATTCCAAACAAAAAAACAAAGCCTACCTCACATCAAATAAGATTACTGTTGATTTATATCGCAGAAGATTTATGCCAGAATATTGGTATTGGACTTCACATGTTGAGTACGAGCCTCGTTTTGACTCGCGGTGTGGCCAGTCTACAAATTCCAACATAATTAAGGAAGATGGAGTTAAGACGTTTGAGGATTTGGTTTATGATGCAATTGTGCCATAATTTCAACAATATACAGAAGAATCCCTGAATAAAGAGGCACAAAATTTCTATGATTTGTTGCATGTTGCGTAACAAAATTTTACATGCAACAAACATGGCAATAAGAATACTAAAGCCCAATGATCTATAGGTTGAACTTTTACATGCAACAAACATGGCAATATCAAAAAGCTTCACCATTGAAGCCTCAGCCCAACGAATAAGGAAAAATTATTATATGTGGAGTCTGTATTTTTTGAAAGTTTGTAAATATAGTATTCTTATCCACGAAAATATAAAACAAAAAATATCTTATGGTGGGAACTAACAAATTAAAAAGCCCAATAAGAATACTAAAGCAAGTAGAACACAACTCGATTCAAAAACCTTAGTAAGCAAAATCACCATATAATATTAAACAAACTGAAATTATTTTATAAGAAGAAAGAAAACCAAAACAAATTACCCTCAGAACAACCAACTAGTGGTCACCTCACATGTAACGATAAAATAGGAAAATAGAATGCTCAAGGACATACAAATCAGTTGTTCACCACAGCTACTTTGATCTAATCCAACATCTGCCACAACTCCTCAGGCAAATCCCAACAAAACTTACCAACCAACACCAATCTGATTTTTAGAAGAAGGATACAATGAGGTGGAAACTTCTGGAGAGAAGAAAGGGGTTAGAAGACTTAGAAGAAGAAACAAGAAGTGAAGAAGTAGCTCTCAAGCTAGAGAAGAAATCCTTAGATTTTACTTTGATTTTTCACTTCCAAAAACTCTTCTTAAACTATTATAAATAACCCCTATAAATAAATGCCCAAAATCCTTTTGCCTATATCATTTCTCCCTTTATGGAGAAATCTCATCTCTTGATGAGTTTGATTCAAAATTATGAAGATATGGCATTTCTGATTCCTGAATTAGCATGCCATACCTTCTTTTGATGATCTCCTTTTCTTGTTCAAATTCATATAAGAGTTGAAGCTTCTTAGAATCGTATCTCTTGACACATAATTGCAGTTGTCTTTGAATCATGATCAGATGCTCGATCTATAGAGGATTAGAAGAATATGCACGAGGAGGAACCCATTTTGTTGTTGGAAGATTGTCCTTAGGAATCCAAGGCATAGCTAGATGACTTTCTTGATTACCTTCAATTGGTTGTTTGTTTTGACTTTCCATTTAAAAAAACACACATGATAACCTAGACGCTCTGATACCAAATTGGTGGGAACTATCAAATTAAAAAGCCCAATGAGAACACTAAAGCAAGTAGAGCACAACTCGATCCAAAATCTTAGTAATCAAAATCACCATATAGCATTAAACAAAATGAAATTATTTTATACGAAGAAAGAAAACCAAAACAAACTACCCTCAAAACAACCAACTAGTGGTCACCTCACATGTAACGATAAAATAGGTAAATAGAATGCTCAAGGACATGCAAACCATTGATCCGCCACAGCTACTTTGATCCAATCCAACGACTGCCACAACTCCTCCGACAAATCCCAACAAAACTTACCAATCAACACAAATCTGATTTTTAGAAGAAGGATACAATGAGGTGAAAACTTATGGAGAGAAGAAAATGGTTAGAAGAAGAAACAAGAAGTGAAGAATTAGCTCTCAAGCTAGAGAAGAAGTCCTCAAGTTTTACTTTGATTTTTACTTTCAAAAACTCTTCTTAAACTGCTACAAACAGCCTCTATACATAAATGCCCAAAATCCTTTTGCCTACATCATCTTACCTCAAACTTCAAACTAGAAATCTCACCCACTCAGACTTACTAGGAATACCTCCGTTAACGACAGTTAACAGATAATACCCCGCCGGTGCCACCACCGGCGACGGCGGTGCCTTAACCACCGCACTCATCAACACTTCTCCCAATCTTTGTACCCCCCTACACTCCAACCTCAGCACCCTCTGATGCATCGACAGCGAGTGCGTCACAAACGGCGCCGCGCTCGCCACAAACTCCAACTCCGTCCTCCCCCTCCGTTCCATCTCAAACAAAACCACAAACTCCTCCCCATACCGTATCCCTTCCTCTCCGCCCACCACCGCAACATTCATCGGCCTCTTGTCATCAAAAAACTTCCTCATGTAATAAGGAGTGAAGGCCTCCATTCTCAGCTCCGTCTTATACGGGTATCCGGAAAAGTTGTATCTGTAGTACGGGTTGCTCCCCCCAACAAGAATCCGACCGTCAGAAAGAAGCAGAGCCGTCGAATGGTACATTCGAGGAATAATCGATGCGCGAAGAACAGAGAATCTTTTCCTAGGCTTACCGTTAGGGTGGTAGAGGTACGGTGTAAGGGCGGGATTGATCGCCTTTTGCCACCCAGCACAGCCGTGCGTGGCGCCGTTGATTATGAGAACATTCCCCGTCGGAAGAACCAACATGTCGCTCATCAGTCTCGGCCCCGGCATCTTTTCCATTATCCACTCTGGTTTCTCATCAGTTATGACCATGCGACCGCAGGAGCTGAGGGCTTGGTAGTACCTTCCCCGGAGAGCTGCACGGTATGCCCCGGCGGCTGCGCCGCCGCATATCATGACTTCAACGCGTTGGAAAAAGTTGGTGTGGTCGAGAGGGAGTAAAGCGGTTGAGCCGGTGCTGGGGTAGTTGCGGGCTCCGCTGCCGGGGAGACGAGGGAAAGTGCGGAGAACGGTGTTGTGGCGGTAGTCAAAGAGGATGGAGTCGCGATTGGCGAAGATGAAGAGATTGCCATCAGAGGAAAGGTGGATGAAGGGGTAGAGATTGTTTCCTTTGTCACGGCGTTGGCTGGTTTGGCGGAGGAAGGGAAGCTCGTATGCAGTTTCATTGGGGTGGGATTTAGGGACGAACTCGTAGGTGAAGACGTTGAGGCCGCCGAGGATGAAGACGCGGTCGGCGCCTGTTGAGAAAGGAAACGGCAGAGGGAGAGTGTAAAGAGGCAGCTAATAACATGTACAAATTAACGTATGCTACATAATATTCTTACGGAGATAAAAATAATAAAAATAAAATAAATTATTGTTTATATTGTTAGATATCAAAATAAGTAAATAAAATTAAACATTAAGCAAATAAATTAAATTTGTATTTAAATCTAATATTATAAAGAATATATATATATATAAATAACTATGAAATAAAATAAATGATATGTATGATTTTATAAAAATAAAATAATTTGAATTTTCAATTTAAATTCATAAAAATTGGGGATTTATATACATACCACTTTATTTCATGCTATTTACATATTTAATATCAAAAATATTAATATTACATGCATACCAATCAAAGAATAAATTTGAGTGCTTGGCATGAAATATTAAAGTGTATAGGATGGTATGAATGATATAAATAAATTATAAGAGTGATATATTTAATATTAAAATTGCATACGGATGATAAGCATGTAATATTAATATTTTTTGTGTTAGATATGTAAATAGTATGAAATAAGATGTTATTTATGTAAATTTTACATTAAAAATAATAATATAATTGATTGATAGTTAAATATTTATTTATAATATTTAATTTCAATTAATAATTTCTGAAAGCTGATTTTGAATTAATTTGCAGCTTAAAAATAAAAGTCTCACTCCTTGGCCAAAATAAATTTAGAAATGCATGCACCCATTCTTTTCCAAGAAATTAACTCAGTATATTTTTACGCAATATTTTCCATTAAAAAAAAAAGCCTTCAACAAAATTAGAATGATGCTAACCTCCTTCAGTCCCCCCGTCGGGAAGAATCTGGCTGGTGGAGTACCACCGGCCGTCGGCGAGGACGGCCGGAGACTCGGTCCAATCACAGCGGCCATTACCGCAAGGGCGAAAGTAACGGATCTTGCGAATGCCAGAGCCGTAGCCGCCGGTTTGTTGCAGAGTGCCGTCTCTGAGAAAGGAGCTGGAGGAGCACCACGTGTCGGTTTTTAACGTGAGGGGACGAAGACTGTTCGTTGCCACGTCGTATTCCATAGAGTGAGCCCAGCAGGACTTCACCTGAGAAGACGACTTAGCGCCGTAACCGTCGTTCTTTGGCTCTGAGGAGCCGCCGCCGTCGCCGCCTCTTCTTGAGCAGGAACTGTTTCGTTGCAGGATGTAACCTGTACGGCCGGAGCTTGTCTGATCGAAGAAGATGACGGTGTTGAGGTGGGTGAGGGCCATATGCATGGCAACTACGCCGGAGTTGTTGAGAAGTACTTCCCACGTGCTACTTAATCCATTGACACCGCTCCTATGTGCTGCCAAGGACTGCGGCCATTGCAGTATCAGCAGAAGCATCAAGGCCGCTGCAGTAGCTGGATTAGTGGTCATGTTATTCTATTTGCACTAGAGAGATGTAGAGAGGGATATAGAGAAATGGCTGCGGTAGAAGTTTATTCTACTTGAACTGGGGAGAGCGATGGCTGGGGTTATAGCAGGTTTTTAAATTTCTATGGAAGAAAAAGAGGAGAAAGGGGATGAATCATAGGGGATTGGTATTTATGGGGATTTGAAATTAAGGAGGTGCTCTTTCTATTTTTGGAGAGAAGCTGGCAGGATTAAAGGAAACGCATATAGGGTGACGCAAATTAAAGACTTTTGATCCAGAATTTAATTGAGAATTTCGGTCTTTTTTTAAGGCTTATCATGCTAACTGTCAAATAGAAATTTGAATTTAAATGTCTATAATGCTTAAAATCGAAACAAGCATGCATATTCGTTATTTTATTTTTTTGAAAAAAGATATATAAAATTTCATTTGGATTTTTTTTTTGAACATTTAGGCTAATTAGGACAAACTTGAACACATATCATATACGCAAGCTTCGAACCTAATATTATATCCCGACTCGCAGTGGCGGATCCAGCCTTTTTTTTTAGGGGGGCAAATTCAAAATATAAAAAAGTAAATACCCACGTTATGTCAATAGCTATTCTCTTTATGCTTCCAGTTCTTAAATCCCTCACCAACAAATGTGTCTCCACCGCCTTTGCTAGTATTAACTTGCTCTTGAGGCTTAAACAAGTAGCAATAAAGATAAAATATTAATTGCATCTTTTTGAATACTATACTCCATCCAATCAGGAAAGTCTTCAAACCATTTTGAATTAAATCTACGTGCAATATTCCTATCTTTGTTTGAGGGAATTGATGATTTTTTGGTTGATGTGCTCCCTTCAACAAATAAGCTCTACGAACTCTATCACGATCGTTTACATCATAACTCCAGATGGATGGTCGAAGACCAGGATCAGCAGGTAGATTGTCAATATCAATCTCGACACGTTCTTTTCGCTTCAAGAACCGTTCCATTTCTCTAAAGGCTAACAATGACTAATCCAATTTAGCTAACATTGTTATTCTAACTAAATTCACAAATGAACTATGTAAAATAAGTAAAAATGCTAATAATGCCAATAAAATGATTAAGGGATATGTCACCAGCATGTAGAAAATGACAAATAATGGCATAAAACAATCCAAACTGAAAGCTACCAACAAAAAACATTAATGGTCCTCCAATTCCTTAAGCAAACACCGTTAATGGTTCTGATAGAGATAGATGTAACTAAAAAATTTTAAAAAGGACATAGCTTTGGCTGAGAAATTCTGCAACTTTCTAAATATCGTGAGAATCTACCATGGCCTTGTGCCCACCTAATGAAAATTTGGGACAGATTTTTTCTATTCCAAAAAAAAAAAAGAAACAAAGGTCATTTGCTCCTTGTAATAGACCATTAATTGACCTAATTTACTAGTGACGGATGCATTGACATCACTATTTCCTATCCAAAAAAAAACAAAAAACAAAGGTCATTTGCTCCTTAAACCAAAAATAAATTGAATGGCATAGTAAAAGAGAAAAATCTGCATAGGTGAGAAGTGATTCCATTGCTTCCACCAAGCTTAACATTTGCAATTACTTGACTTCTGATGAATATTTTTTTATTTTGCAACCTGCACGACTCTCAGTCGTCTCAGAAGAACAAGATGCAGATATGAAATTAAAACAAGATGCAGATAAGAAAATATGTAAGCTGTATTTTTTTGAAGATTCAGTCAAGCAGATAAGATAAAATGAAGAAAGAAATAGAACAAGTGGAGAAGTAGGGATTCACCAAACAACTAAAACATACCTTCAAAATGATGAAGGCAGCTGCGACTACGAACGAGACTACGAGAGTGCTCCACCCGTCTAGCGATCTCTTCACCCAGCGGCAAACTTGAAATTTTCGAACAGAGAGCGATGGCGAAAGAAAACTGCGGATGTACGAATCGAGGCAAGCTGGCTCGGATGAGAAGATTTAGGGCAAAAAAATTTTTGTGAGGGGGGGGGGGCAAATTTCCGAAACTGCCCCTCCACTAGAGTATTTTTTTTTTATTTTAGGGTGGGCATTTGCCCACCCTCAGCCTGCCTTGGATCCGTCCGTGCCGACTCGGACCAAACCGGTCTTGGATTTCTCACAAACACAAGCAAGCAGCCCTGCCGCCTTTCATTCACGCAATCAACCGCAATCTTCGTCTCTCTTAAACAAGAACGACCCGAGTGACTCCTAGCTGCGGTTCCCTCTCTCTAGTCGCGCTAATCATGTGATTCTTCTCACTCCTTTTATTCTCCCGCCCGTGCTCTCTCTCTCTCTCTCTCTCTCTCTCTCTCTCTCTCTCTCTCTCTCTCTCTCTCTCTCTCTTCGCTAAATAAAAGCCTAGGACATCATATTCTCCTCTTTCTGCTTGTTGCAGCCGCCAAAATACTCTCTTCTCCTCCCTCTTCACTAGCTCATTGCTCGCAATGACAGCCTCGAGTAAGTTCCTCCTTCAATTTTGAATTCAAACTCTTATATTTTCTCTTCTCCTTCCTTATTTCTTCCTCTTTATTATCAAGATATGGAAGTAGATATCCTCTTTTGTAATAGTTTTACTAGATTTGATTTGATGTTGCCTTGATTCATTGTTATGATGGATTTTAATTTGTTTTCGGAGGAGGCCTCATTTTAGGTTTAATTTGATCTTGAATCCTATGTTATTTATATATTTTTAGATCATATTATTGTTCATAATTAATTTTGGTGTTTATATATGATGACGTGGCTAAGATTGATTGGAATATTCTTCATTATGCCTCGATGAGCGTGCTTAATGTTATTTTGGTTTTTAATTGCTACTTGTAGGATTATAGTTTGGTGGAGATGAGCGAGCAGCTTCTGAAGTTGGAGTTAGTAGCTAACACAGTAAGTAACTATTATTTATTTTGGAATAAGCATACCCTTTTTTGTTAGAGGCTTTATAATTTTGTTGCTTGTGATAGATTTTCGATAATTATATTGCCGGTTCTATTCCTAATATTTATTATTATTGTGTTATATTAAAAAAACATATTTATGGCTTATATTAAAATCATCTTATGATAGAAATAATATTATTTTGATTTGTTGATGCATGATATTTTAGCATTTAAAATGGTTTATATTGTAAAAGGTTAAATTTATATACAATAGTTCTATTCATGTAGTATATGATTCTCATGTTGTAAATCATGTTTGTTATATAAATTGTAATTGTCATATTGAATTTCATAATACATGTTGATTATATGTAATAGCACTTGTACTGTGTATTTATGTGCATGTTGATATAACCCTATTGATTTTTTTCTAGCCAGAGTCGATGGGTCCTAAGAATTACGACTCTACATGAAATCAGTGTCTTTTTTTTGGTTGGTGTTTACCTTCCCGATATGGATATATGATAAACTGATAATAGTTGCATCTATGTTTAAATGTATAAAAATATAAGCAACATGAATTTGAAGTAATAAATGATTGATAGGTCATTTTGAGGTATAATTATACCTAGTGTAGTGTAATTGTAAACTTTGAAGTGATTTGGAATCAATAACTAATTTGCATATAGTCGTGTATATTAGAATATGTTATAGAAAACATAGCATATCTCATGGTAATTTTTAATATAGTTATTATAAGTTAGTACTCCCCTCTTTTAGTTGTTCATATTGCATCCCCCACTCATTTGTCGTTTATACTTTGATATTAATAGTTACTTGCTGAGTTTAATTTATCAAATTCACTTGTTGTCCTTTTTAGTAGTTCATAAAGGTTTGTTTTGTGGACCGCCGCCTCAAGAGCAGGGTTACCATCAGTAGATTATTTTTTGTCTTTATTATTTTACAGTAGTTCAATATGTTTATATTTTATGAAGAACTTTGTTATTTGGATGTATTGATTATTTGAACTTCTATTAATAAGTTAGCTTTATTTCACTTTCTATGTTTACTCTTATGCGTATATATAGATTTTTCCTTAACCCCCTTCATATATCAGTTGGCTATATAAATATAATGATTTACACGTTATAAAGCTTACGACTTGACTCAATAATCTTATCAACTCTATGAACCCATGATAATTCTGATCTTATTTTGATAATAATCATTATATGATTGAAAAAATTAATGTGGGTGATTTTAGGATTGAAACTTTGCTTATATTTCAATAAAAGCTTCAAGACTATATGAAGCGTTATCACATTAAAAAATAATATTCAAGAAACATATAGTTTATTTAGAGTGGCATTTGTAATTGTAAGATGAATGGCTCATATTTGACTCAAGCTCTTATATTAGATTTAATTAAATTTTCTTTAATTTATTTTTTTCAATCAATATATAATGTAAATCAATTTATTAGATTTTTGTGAGAAGAAAAAAAAAACTAATTATGATCCATTTTTTCTTAATTTACTAATTAAGATTTAATCATATTTATAATGGAAAATTGAGCTTTTAATTTTGATTCCATTAAGTCAGTTGCATTTTGTAAATGAAAAATCATGTACATTGTTGTTTTATATGTTTATTTTATATTCATTAAGTTATCAAAAATTAATAAGTTAATCATATTTACAACTTTGCCACTCATATGGATGTTGACCTGCACTAAGTGCGAAGAGGCCCGTCCCAAATAGTCCCTAAGAAGAGATTTAGTAACATTTTTGTTTTATAAATAAGTGTTGGATAGCACTCATCCGATTAAGCGAGTACGAGGGAGTGATGATTTTTCAACGGGCTTGAGCAACAAAGGAGTTTGACTTGTTTATTTCCCATCCAACACTTTTTGCTATTTTTCAAAAACTTTTATAGTGGAAAGCTGATTTCTACAAAGCGAAGTTGTTTTCTTCCCATAAATTGTATAATTAATTTTATAAAACATTGTAGTCATCCCAAACATACCCCATGAAGATTTAGTGACATTTTTGTTTTATAAATAAGTATTGGATAGCACTCACCAGATTAAGCGCGTATGAGGGAGTGATGATTTTTCAACTTGCTTAAGCAACAAAGGAGTTTGACTTGTGGAACAGAGTGGGTGATGGAATCCTAATTTGGGCAAGGATTAGGCATGAGTCATTTATGGCATTAGGTTGTGCTTGAGTAGATAAATATTTTGACAAAAAAAGATATTTTAATCATCGCCATTTTTTTATAACTGTGAGTTTGAACTTAGTATTTTTTCATAAGTATTTTGGCTCTAAAAGAGATCCAATGTATGAGCTATTTATAATGTTAAATTGTACACATAGAGATGAGCCTTTTGAGATCAAGATCATCATCATTATTTTTAGTAGAGTAATTTGGATCCATGAATATTTCTAAACTTATTCCAATGAATCCAACAATCAAAATTTTGATCCATCAACTCTATTGGACTTGAGAAATTCAGATATTCAAAATGGTATCCTCTACTCAATGATTGGAGACATTGCCAATGGTGATCATTGCTAGACCAACTAAATGACCAAGCCAGCCTTGGTCCAACCAAGTCAATTGAGCAATTGGCTTAAAGATGAAACTTTCAGGTTACTCTCACTTCAATAGAGATATGACTTGGACTCTTCGATATGCATGCTTATATAAAATAGTATGGTGAAAAGTCCAAAGTATCCCTCCTAAAATTTAAAAAGGTATCATAATTCCACATTTTAAGAACACTTAAAATAAACCATAAACCATGAGAAACCATTCATATATAAAAAAAATATATCCTTTCATTGATATTTATCTATGATTTTCTCTCATCTACACTTATTCCAAGAGAGAGATCATCCTAATATTATCATCCATTTAATCTTGATCACCAATTCCCCCTCCTCTTAAGAGAAAAGCTCGTCCCTATACCTACAATCATTTGTTAAATCATATCATGTCAATGACCCCATCCCTTCAAGAGAATGGTTGACCTAACTATCCTTAATTATTTTCCAACTACATTATCCACATTCAATCATCGCTAGATCACCTAATCTCTTTTCATTTCAAGAGAATTAATGTTCTCAACCTCCTTTTATGATCCCTTGAACAATTAGGCTTCATTTGAGATAATTTTTTTACTTATTTTTAAAGTAATTTTCTAGTAAAAAAATTAAAATTTTAAAACAGAAAGAAAGTCTTCCCAAACGAAGCCTTAGTCTTGTTCAAATTAAAGTTTCAATTTGTCGCTTAACAAACCATTTAAATTTCAAGATCTTATCTTAATTTACTTTTATAACCATTTTTTAGTAATTCTAAAGAATATTCATTAGTAATTACTATTCTATATTGTTTGGAGCATTTTTGCAATCACCATAAAATCTTTGTATAGCAAAATTACCTTTTTTTTTCTTATATCTGTGAAAGGCTGTCAAATATACGAGAAATTATTCTGTGCAGATGCTGAACGCAGCTCTACATCCAAAGACCAACCAAAATGAGCCACGTCAACAATATCGAGCGATATCGAGCCGCAGTACCAATATGGCTCATTCTGGTTGATCTCTAGACGGCGTTCAGCATCTGCACAGAATAATTTCTTCAAATGTACACCCTACCTATTTTCTCATCAACTTAGGGATCAACATTAATGATTTTTGCATTTAGGTTTCTTTTGGAGACTTTTGAGTCAATTAAGATAAACTCACACGTATATCATATATGCAAGCTTGAAACTCAATACCTCTTATCTTCTAATCAAAACTCTCAACCAACAGATCAAGATAAGTTGCATCATTTAGCTTTTCTAACAAGAAAGAAAAATGAAAGAAATGAACGACCAAAAATAGTAAAAGAATACATGAACTTCATTTACCATTAAAATTTATAATTTAATAGTTGCAGAACAACTATATTTCACACATTCATGCCTTGATCTTCATCAGTAAAAAGCTCTTCATTCCTGATTCTGCTCACACTAGCAAATCCCAACACTTCCCTACTTTGGAATAATGAAAAGAATACAAACCCATAACCTTCAATCAAGATTACAAGAAAGCAATGAATTATCACATTTCTGGAAAAAACTGCACAAACCTAAATAAGGGGTTCTGATAGTTCCATCTCATTGGAGTTCTCCTGCACATCTGTTTGGTATCTTACAGAGTCTAATCCCAGCCATTGCCATGGCCAACATACATATCTGTGGCTGTTTCGACCGGTCGAGTCATTCTTATCGAGCTGTTCGAGTTGTCGTGTTAGCTCTTCCACCCTCTCCCTCAACCTGCCAGCTCTTACATCAGCTAGCTTAAGAGAAGTCTCTGCTGCATCTCTGGCAGCTATTGCTGCAGCAGCAGTCTCTTCTTTGAACTTGAGCTTGTTCTCAAACTCCATCATGGCATGCTTTGCTTCCTCCAGCTCTTGGCGCAAATATGATAGCTTCACCGTGAAAACCAAGTTATGAGAAAAGAGTAGTATGCAAAGAAATCTTTTGCAATGGGTTTTCAGAATTTAGGACAAGCCAGTTTGCTGGAAAATTATGAAGTTCGGGGGTATTTGGATGCGAAGGCTTGATAAAGCAACGGGGATTCTCTATTTCAGAATAATGCTTCACTAAAGGGAAATATCAAAATCTTGCAATTTTCTTCGCTCCTATTCCCCAACTCAACGTGAGAATATGGACCACTTGGGGTTGAGGCGGCAAAAAAGAAAAATCCAATTTTTTTGGGGAACGAAGTCTTACTCTCTATTTTAAAGAAAACAGCGAAGAAAGAGGGAAGAGGGCGTGGTAGAAATGAGACTACGGCTTCGTTTGGGACGGCTTTCTTCCTGCTTCTTAAAGTTGTTTTTAGTAAAAAATTAAAAAATTTGTACTACAAAAGCAGTAAAAAAGCTGTCCCAAACGAAGCCTTGGGACAGCTTTCTTACTGCTTCTTAAAGCATCTTTCTAGTACAAAGAAAACAGCTTTAAAAAACAGTAAGAATGCTGTCTCAAATGAAGCCTAACAGTAAACATAGGACCAACATCAGTAAGGGCTAGTGGACATTCTGACCTTAGCCTCTCCAATAACACCCTATAAAGCATGGGATAGCAAGGTTTACCTGAGATTTTGTATGGAATTAGGTTTATGACGTGTAGGGCAGAAAAAGTTTGAACGTGGCAGATTAGGATGTTGTACAATAATGTAGATGAATTTTATAGAGGAGATGACGTTAATAGAGTCAATATAGGATCTTCAACCATAACATATGAAAGACAACTTGAAGCCTCTCCCTGGGAATTCAGGGAAAGCGTGGAAAAATAAACGTTGTGTCCTAATGCAAATCTTGAAGTCCACAATTATTAAAATGTGCATTAAGATGAACATGCTTGATGTTTATTGTAGGAGTTCTAATTTTAGAAAACTGGTGTTCTCAAAAGCATTGTAGGTGCTCGTCTAGGCAACTCGAGCAAGGCAAGGTTAGATCTTATCATCTCACACTTATCCCAAGAAGGCACAATTATTAAGGAGACGCCTAAGCAATTGACTTGATCTATGATAATAGTCTATGAGGCGCTCCCCTCAATAATGTAGAACTTTTTTCATTATTTAATATATGAAGGGAACATATATTAAAGTAATTGTTAAAGAGAAATATACATTCTATTATCTCTTATCATTAGAGGGGTCCTCTATTTATACTATAAAAAAATTACAATATTCCAAGATACAACCAGATAAACAAATACCACTCACTAAATATAGAAACATTTTCTAACTAATGTTTTTTCTATGTTAACACTCCCCTTAAAACTAGAACATATATATCAACTAGATGAAGCTTGTTGTATAATTTGAAAAATGAAGAAATTCTAGAGACTTGGTAGATAAATCAGCTAGTTATTCTTTGCTAACACGAATAGTGATGATATTCTTTGATAGAACAGCATCCCTATAATAAGTTGACAAACAACTTCGATATGTGTAATTCTTTTATGATAAATTAAATTGCTAGCAATTTAAATAATAGTTTGAAACCATAAGTAGTGATCAGAAAACTAAACTCAGAAAGAGTTTACAACCACATCATTTCCCATGTGGAGTGATCTATAGCACTATATTACGCTTCAACACTATATCTAGCCATAATTGCCTACTTCTTACTCCTCTAGGTTATAAGATTTCAACTAATAAAAATATATTGTCCAGGAATCAACTATTTTTAACAGATCCAACATAATCAACATTTTCATGAGTTTCAACCCTTAAGAGATTATTTCTTTGACTAGCTCTTTCCCAAGAGATTTTTTAAGAGCCTCCCAATGTTTATTCTTGGGATTTTACATATCTTGATTAAACACACCAGCAGAAAAGGATGAATTAAGGAAGTGATAGACAAAAAAGATAAGCTTATCAACCAAATAATGGTAGGGAGAAGTGTCTTCAAGAATTTCCAAATTTTCAAATGTTCATCAAATATTCAAACATGGGAGAGTTGATAGGCTTGCATCCAAGAAGATCATTTTCTTCAAGAAATTCTAGTAGTATAATTTCTTTGAGAGAGAAAGAGACATCAAGAAAGAACTTTGGGTATTCAAAATCTTTGGTTATAAACAACTTTTAAAGATAATATTTTATTTCAACAATGCTAGAATTGTAACTTCTAATAGTAAAAATGTCATCAACATACACCATAAAAATTATGTCAGAGGAAGTGTCAAATAAAAATTGAATAATCAACAGACCTACTTTACAGTCTAACATCAGTTAGCACCTTGTAGAGTTTGTCAAACTCTTTACACGAAATTTATATTAACCCATATATAACTGATAGAAAGGTTCAAGATGGACCGGTCCAGTCAGCCCAAGGTTTACAGAAGGCTGAAGCCTGCTGTTCTGCCCAGGCAAGGTTCCTCCCCCTTTGGAGTGAGGTCCACAACTTAAGCAGAGAGAGAATGGAGGCGGTTAGGAGGGAATTTTGAATTGGAAGGGCATTTTAGTCTTTTGAGAGATTACTTTTTATACTTTAAGCAGAAGGATTGCATTAGGGTTATGATCATTTTTTGTATTTGCTAAAATTCTATTGGTACTTGGCATTCTTGGGCTCTAATTGCGTCTAGAAAGTTAGAAGAGATAGATACTCTTTCCGAATTGAGGTTCAATTGTATCTTGGTATTTTCCTTCTGATTTCATCAATTGCAATGTTATTATTGCAGTTTTTCAGGATTTGTTTGGAGATGTGTGGGGGACATGTCGCTGAAATTCCATTATTAACAAGTTCCACTTGAGTTCTATAGGATATTAGGTGTTTCCTATCAATTTGGCATCAGAGTGGTGTTCGGGGCTGGAATTTGGATTGTTTTGGCTGATTTATGCAGCATATTTCGTCGTCTATCTGTTGATTTCTGCTGTTTTTCGGGTTGAATTCCTAAATCTTGATTCTAACAAAGATTCGGATATCGATGGCGGCAAGAAAGTTGATGTTTTGAAAGAACGTCTTGAGGGGGAGATGAGTCAAATCAAAACGATGGTGGAATATAGAATTTTCTCCATCGAAGATAAATTTTTGGACCTCCAAGAGATGGTGAAGAAGATATGGGATCATCAAAACCAAAAGGCGACATCGGAGGCAAGAGAGCCAGTAGGAAGAAATACAAACTCTGAAAATCATTGGGATGAAAATGATGTGGAGATCTTAGAGGGAGAAGGGAGAAGACCCCATTTGGAACCTTTTCAGAGGGTGCATAGAGGTGGAAGGTATGGGGAGAGGCATGTATATGTGGAGCATGAGCAAAGGGGTGCTGATTGGGAAAGAAATGAGAGAGATTACGGTAGGAGACTTGCTAATTTTGAAGGGAAAAATGGGGAAATCATAGAAGGGTTTGGGTACGAACTTGGAAAGAAGGATTGGATACTCTTTTTTTTTTTTTTTTTGAAGGAAAAGCAGAAAATTGCATTAAAAAAGAAAAGGAATGGCATCCACTTGGGGAAGGGAAAATTATGGAGGAATTAGAGGAAATGGGGGAGAACCGAAGGTCCGGAAGTTGAAGATGTCCATCTTTGAGGGGGAGGATGCACACAAGTGAATCTATAAGGTAGAGAGATATTTCGTCATCAATGGATTGACGGAGGAGGAGAGATTGATGGCAGCTGGTCTATATTTGGAAGGGAAGGTATTGACTTGGTACTAATTGAGAGACATGAAGTGGCCCATACGGAGTTGGGAGGGTTGTTTAGTCCTTTGAGAGATTTTTTTTCTTTTTTTTTAGATTATTTTTGTATGTTTTAAGTAGAAGGATTGCATTAGGTTTAGGATCATCTTTTGTATTTGCTGAAATTTTATTGGTTCTTGGGCTCTAGCGGCATCTAGAGAGTTACGAGAGATACATCCTCCTCTCGAATTGAGGATGAATTGTATCTTGGTATTTTCCTTCCGATTTCATCAATTACTACGTTATTATTATTGTTTTTCTAGATTTGTTTAGAGATTTGTGGGGAAATATCGCTGAAATCTCATTATTGACAAGTTCCACTTGAGCTCAAGTGTTTCCTATCAATAACCTTGTAAAAGCTTGCATATTTTGGTCTCCCTCGTAGCAATGTACCCAAGAGATGGCTTCATATAAATAGCTTCAATAAAATCCCCATAGGGAAAAGCATTGTTGACATTCATTTGCAGTATTAGTCCATACTTAATTAATGGCAATAGAGAGAAGAAGACGAGAAGAATTAAGAAATGCAACAAGGAGAAAACCTAAAATTAATTTATACCACAGGCATGTGTATGTCCTTACGCTAGCAAACAAGGCTTATAGTGTTCAATAAAACTAACAAGATGAATCTTAACGTGAAGACCCAGCAATATGAAATAAATTTAACCCTAAGATGAGGTCTAACTAATCCCAAGTATAACAAATAATTAAAAAAAAAAAAGTATAACAACCAATAAAAACGCCTTTTTAATTTTTTTTATGTGCTTTCATTTAGAGTCAAGTAGAGGCTCACGATATAACCTAGGAATAGAAATAGTGGACATGGACGGCAAGCTGACCAAAAGATGATAGAAGTTCAAAATACATAAAGGACTATAGTAAATGGTCCGCACATTTAAGTTTACCTATTTATAAATCAGCAGTAAGACGTAGATTTGAAGGATTAATTTCAGGTGATGCTCAGCTGTGGTAGATGAAATGAACAGAGGTGCTTTAGTAGCGGAAAAAGAGGCCTGGGAATATAAATTTATGGGGGAGGAGTAGACAACAGAAAAGCGATTGTAGAAGATGAAGCATGAAAGATTTAAAAAGATGTCTCATGAAAGGTAGCATCGCTATAGACATATAGTTGTTATGTTGATGGATCATAAAGCTGATAATATTTTTTATCACAAGAATACCCCAAAAAAATGAACTAGATGGTGTTGGGCAGAGCTAATCATGGAATGGGCAAATTGAGAGAAAA